AGATCCACAGTGCGGACGGTGCCAACAGGCCGAGTACCTCTGTGGGACCCAGCAGGCGCCCCAGCCCCGCACTGCCATGTAGGGGAGACAGCACAGGCTGTGGGGAAGAGCCTACAGCACTGATGGAAGAGCCGGTCCGGGCAGGCTTCCCGCAGGCTGTCCACACTGCCCTCCCCCTCTGACCTGCTAGTCCCAGTAAGCCTTTTCAACTGCAGGCATTACGATGGTATAGGGTGCAGCCTGGGGCAAAGGAATGTAGGCAGAAGCGTCCCCTGGAGTTTTGGCATTGGTGCCCTTGTAAGAGGAGTGCACACAGAGAAGGTGATGTGAGTGGAGGCAGAGATAGAAGTAATGTGTCTATCAGCCAAGGAATGCCAAGGACTGCCTGTAACCACCGGAAGCTGGGGAACAGGCATGGAACGGATTCTCCTTCAGAGCCTCCAGCAGGAATCTGCTGCCAGCACCTTGATTTTGGACTTCCTGCTTCCTGAACAGTGAAAATGCATGTCTGTTCTTTTAAGCTACCCAGCCTGTGGCAGTTTGTTACAGCAACCTCAGGAAGCCAATCCCACTGAGGCTCAGCTCCCTACGGAACACATACTTGTGTGGGTTCTAAATGTGCGATGCCTCCGTGTGGACAGAAGATGATACCGAGACTGGTGAGGAGGCCCAGATTGGCTGTAAGAGAAACAAACCACTTAATTAACCTTTCCCACACTTCCTTTTCCTTCTCAAGTAGAGCTGTGTTCTAGCTGAAACATCAAATACAACTTCTTGGAGGCAAAGCCAAGAAGTGAGGGCATTGTCCTCTATCTGGGACCAGTTTCTGCACACCTCCCTTTCAGCCTGTGGCCCCCAGCCTCCAAGGACCTGGAAGAGATCAGCACTGGGACCCACTCATCAGCGGCAACATCTAAATCTGCATCTTTTACACCTCAAACCCCATGAACCTAGAGTGGATGAGGAAGGTACATGCAGCGCTGAGGAGGTGGCCAGGCCCACTGGAACCCCAGACCCAGGGAGCCGCCCAGTGCAGGAGGAAAGGAATTGCCCTGGGTGAGTGGTCAAGGTCTTGCCTAAGACCCGTTCCCAGGGGGCAGAACAGAGCCGAGCAGACCTCACCACGAGGGCACCACACCCTCTGTTCTGCTATCATCATCACGTAGGAAGATTGTGAAGCTGGTGTTTGTCAATTTCTCTAGGACAGAGCCATGGCCTTGACCTCCCAATCCCTCCCTCGCCCAGCACCAGAGGGAAGACAGCACACTTAATCCAGGCCTGTGTGGATAGCATGGCAGGAACCAACATGTGGATCCTTTGCCAAGCTTCGCCCACCCCTGCCTAGACTAACAAACGGCTGGAATCCAGAAGCAGGAGGCAGGGACGGGGATGCACTGCAGTTCCCAGGAATCCTAAGGCTTTGAGCTCTTGGGGAACAGATCTGGGAGGCAAAGGATCCAGGAGACACTAGTGAGAAAATGGAAGTTAAGCTTCGAGCAAAGTGTTCATTTCACTCAGTCTTTTTTTTTTTTTTTTTTTAACTAAGGAGCTTAATAAGGCGAAAAAAATAAGTCAAGAGTTGGGAGACCCCCTCCAAGTCACAGTATATGGTTTCCTCTTAACAATTTTCTGTGCCACTGTTCCCAGAGGAGGGGTGGTCCTGAAGCTCTAGGTCACTAGCCCCCGGCAAGTGACAACAGATGTAATGTGGCAGGAAAAGCATGTTCACTGCTGTCCTCAGCTTGGAGATTTTACATGTATTGGGCTCGTCAGGATTTGCCTCCCACCCATCATATCCTATAAACTTAAGACCAAGAGGGAGCACTTCTAGAAAAGAAAAACCCAGGAGATGAAGGTGGCAGTGAAGCCACCTGAGGTGAGAGGAGCCCTCAGGACTCCAGGAGACCCTGTCCTAGTCAACAGTGCTCTTCTCATAACACCATTAGGAAATCACCGACACACCCAGGCACCATCCCTTCCTGCCACATGGCCCCTTCAGGGGATCAAGGGTCAGGACTCACGTTGTTGTACCTCACAAATCATCCGGTCAAAGTTGTGTCTGTGTTGCCATTTGTGGTGGCTCTCAGTCTGGCCAGGGATTGAAGCACTGGACAACTCCCTCCGGATCCCATTCCACAAGTGCACCCTCCCACCCAACCCCCCGTCACACTCCCTGCCCTTCATCAGACCTGACATGCCCCACCTGGAGGACTATATGCTCCGTGAAGCACACGGACAGATATCACATGACCTCACATATGTGGAATCTAAGTTGAACTCGTGGAAACAGAATGGTGGTTGGCAGGCCTGAGGTGTGGGGGAAATGGGGAGATGGGGAGATGTTGGTCAAAGGGTATAAACTCTGTTAAGTTCTGGAGACCTAATGTATAGCATTAGTTAATATTAACATATTGTATACTTGACATTTGCTAAGAGATTGGATCTCAAATGTCCTCATCACACATTAAAAATGTTAACTATGTGAACTGATGGATATTACTGCGGTAATCATTTCACAATACCTACGTATACCCAAACATCACACTGTATACCCTTTTTACCAGTATGAATTTCGGTCTTTTACTCCCTGCTGGGGAAACAGTTCCTGGCACACAGACAGCACTTAATAAGTCAACGAGTGGCTCTCATTTTATCCTCACGCAATCTTGAAAGCAGATGGGTTTTATTCATTCCATTATTACTCTGCCAGACCCCATGCTATGGAGGGGATCCAGCAGTGACATGAGACAGATACAAGGCCCCTTCCCTTGTGGGTCTTGAAGTAGGCGGAAAATACGCAAACAAATACAGTAACAAATTCTGATAAGGCTAGAAAGGGAAAGTACACAGTGCTCAACATCCTCTGTTCTGCTGTCATCATCACGTAGGAAGACTGTGAAGCTGGTGTTTGTCAGTTTCTCTAGGACAGAGCCATGGCCTTGACCTCCCAATCCCTCCCTCACCCAGCACCAGAGGGAAGACAGCACACTTAATCCAGGCCTGTGTGGATAGCATGTGGATCCTTTGCCAAGCTTCACCCACCCCTGCCTAGACTAACAAACGGCAGGAATCCAGAAGCTCAGCAGGTGTCATTTCTCCAGTGCTCAGCAGGTGTCATTTCAGTCTCTGCTCACAAGGGGATCCTTAAGCAGCTGTTACGGAGGAAACTGAAACCCAGAGAGCAGATTCTGTCCAAGATCCCGGATTCAAACCCAGGTCTGCTTCACTCCATAAGCCTACCTTGCATTTGATCCCTAAGAGGAAGTTAGTCAGACTCTTGAGCTACAGGCCAAAAACAACCCAGACGCTTGGAAGCACAAGTGTCACACTTCCCAAGGGGAGGAGGGGTGCTGTCTCCTCTTGGGGTCTTCATCATACCTACTAATGAGCTCACACGTTTGAACCCCTTCCCTTGAGGGAGCACGTTACAGGGACTTTGAGGTAAGAATCATGAAGTGGCAAGGACAGGTTAAGATTTCACTTTCCCAGGAGAGAAAAATATGAGGATTCACTCCACATTTGAAGCCGAAGTGTTCTCTGCCATTGAGGGTGTTCCCTTCCCCTCTTCTCCCATCAAAAATACACTTGGGGGGTGCCTGGGTGGCTCAGTGGGTTGGGCCTCTGCCTTTGGCTCAGGTCATGGTCTCAGGGTACTGGGATCGAGACCCACATCGGGCTCTCTGCTGGGCGGGGAGCCTGCTTCCCCCTCTCTCTTTCTGCCTGCCTCTCTGCCTACTTGTGATTTCTGTTAAATAAATAAAAAATATTAAAAAAAATACACTTGGGGGCGCCTGGGTGGCTCAGTGGGTTAAAGCCTCTGCCTTCCGCTCAGGTCATGATCCCAGAGTCCTGGGATCGAGCCCCGCATCGGGCTCTCTCCTCGGCGGGGAGCCTGCTTTCCCCTCTCTCTCTGCCTGCCTCTCTGCCTACTTGTAATCTCTGTCTGTCAAGTAAATAAATAAAATCTTAAAAAAAAAATACACTTGGAAGTTTTTGCAAGAAAGAATAGGAGGCCTTGGACAAAAAGCTTTCCTTTGGTGCACACAGCTCCAAACCTACTCCTATCATCCAAGGCAGGTTCGGATGGTCAGTGGGACAATCATGTGTCCAGGGCCAACCAGGGCAGCTCACAATAAGTCTCCAGTAACAGCGCTCACTTCTCCAGAAATTCTGAGGGTCCAGGCTCTGCCCTAACTGTTCACATGCACTATGCCCTGTGTAAAGGACCTCACCGTCATCCTCCCCATTTACAGATGAGCACACCCATACTCCAAGTAGCTGTCACTTGCTCACAAATAGCTCTTGCTCCTCGACACTATGATGGAAGATCATTTTATGTTCATTTTGGCTGGAGTCTGGGAAGACATCCACATATTTGATGGCTGGTCTGATGCTTAGTCTCCCTCTGATCTCGGGATACTCGCACCCACCCTCACAGGTGGGAAAACGTACCCCCGGGTCTCACACTGGAGGACCGACCAATAGGTGGAAATGATACCCCTCCAGGAGGAATTAGAATTACACATGCCCATAATCGCGTGGAGCCAATATTAACACTCAAGTCCAGCCTGGTCCCAGGGCTTATGCCAAGAAGAAGGGGGCCTGGTCTCAGTCCCCCAGGCTGAGCCGATGGCAGCTCCAGGCGGGCTGGTCCCACTCTTGCGGTGACCCCCTTCCCGCGGCTCCGCGCGCGCGCGCACGCACTAGCATCCGGAGAGGACCGGGAGCGCCCGCGCTAGACGGAAGGTGGCACTGCGGCGGTAAGCGTCAGGCTCCCGGTCACCGCGCCAAGGAGCCCGCAGCTACGGCGCCCAACCTGGCCACCAATAGCACCACATTGAGTGGCCAGAGCAGCTGCTCTTCCCCAGCTCCCGGCGGGTGGCTGGGAGAGAAGCGCGCAGGCTGCCTCTCCCGTATTTCCGGCGCGGCCACGGCCAGCCGGATGTAGAAAGCGCAGAGCCACCGAGCCGCAGAGAGGCCCGCGACGGCTGCGCAGGCGCCGCCAGTACAGGCGGGACCGGAAGGAGAGACAGAGCGCCGCCATGACAGGTTGGGCCTAAAGGGAACAGAATGGGCCACTTGCCGGCTCTGCGACCGGAAAAAATGAGGCAAGGACAGCCGAGTTGGGCGCCGCCATGACAACCTGACCGGAAAAGGCGGAGCTCTCCTCCCGGACTGATTTCCTACCCGCACCGGCCTGGAGATGTGAGTAGCGGGAGCGCCTACCCTGGATCTGCCGCCGCACCCCTCTCTTCCGTGATCTGGACCTGGGCCAGCACTCCGGGAGGAAGGGTTGGCGTCTTTGTTCCTCGAAGATCCGACCCTTAGGATTCAGCGCAGTCCATTACAAGTCTCGTCCCCCCTGGGCCTTTAGACTCCGCCCCTCTTCTTTGGGTAACTGGGAACTTGTTAGGTCCACACTTAACACCCACCCAATCGTGTCCCTAGGACCCCAGGCACGGTCCACCACCTTGCAACCCTAGGACTGCAGAATTGTCACGGCACCTCTGCGATTCTTAAACCCGTTCTTATAGCTCCGGGTTCATCCCCCTAGATCACCAAACTATAACTTCTGAACCTTCGGATCAGCGCATCATCGCAGACCTCGCCTGTAACGCCCACAGACTTGTTCCCAGATCACCCGTGCCGCTCTAGATTTCCAGATCTTGTTCTCAAGAGCTTACTTGTAGGAACATCCAGATCTATCCCAAGGCTCCAGCCTCACCCAGTGCTTCCACATCATGCCCCTAGAACTCGGAGGCCCACCCCGGGGCTTCAAGTCTCACCTCCAGTACCTCTGTCCTCAGACTTAATCGTTAAGACTCTGGTCGGTGGGCCCTTTCCCAGGACCCAAGACCTTACCACTTGGACTTCTGAACCTCTTTTTAGGACTTCCGAACCCCTTTATGGCTCCCAGATTTTCTCCTAGAACTCAAGATCTTACTTCTAAGGCCCTATGGAGGGATGCCTGAAGGACCCCAAGGCTTGCCTTTGAATGATTAGACTTTTTTTGGAAAAGATCTCCGTCATCTTCCCAGAATCCCCCACCCGGTTCCACAATCCCCAAGGCTCATGCTTTCCCTCCCCATCCATCTCCCTGGCTCTTTCCCAGGATACCTTCAGACTCCTAGATCTGCGCAAGATACCTAGTGTTCTTCCACGCTCCATCCCCCTACTGAGATCAGAACTCCCTTTCTGGTCTGTTGCCTGAAATTACCCTCAGCCCACCATGTCCCACAGGCAGGCAGCCCTGGAGGTCACGGCTCGCTACTGTGGCCGGGAGCTGGAGCAATATGGCCAGTGTGTAGCGGCCAAGCCGGAGTCATGGCAGCGGGACTGTTACCACCTTAAGATGAGTATTGCTCAATGCACATCCTCCCAGTGAGTGTGGGCAAGAATGGGACGGGGTGCAGGGTGGGGGCGGGCAGTGGAGTGGAAGTGTGAATGCTTGAAATGTCCTTCCTCCACAGCCCAATCATCCGTCAGATCCGCCAGGCCTGTGCTGAACCTTTTGAGGCCTTTGAGGAGTGCCTTCGGCAGAATGAGGCAGCTGTGGGCAACTGTGCAGAGCACATGCGCCGCTTCCTGCAGTGTGCTGAGCAGGTGCAGCCGCCTTGCTCACCCTCAACTGCGGAGGTGAAGCCGCCACAATCACCCTCAACTGTGGAGGTGAGGCAGGAGCAGGGACTTGTCACTATTCACCCCCTTTGTCCTCGTAGTTGCTCAAAATAAAGACCTGGGAGTTACCCTCAGCCCCCCTGCCATAGGCCTGCGTGAGCATCTGGGATCCAGAACATGATCATCTCTTGCCCCTTCCCATAGCCCCTGCTTCAGTCCAGACCCCTCTCTGACCTCTCCACCTCCAGAATCCCTGCCCCAGCCTTTTCCCTGACTCTCTGAATCCCCTCTCACTTGCCCTCCACACAGTAGCCAGAGAGAGCATTTAGAAACTGAAAACTCATTTTTCATATTTGCTTAGATCTCTTCAATAGCTTCCCATTCGCTCTGAGAACAAAATCCAGGTCCTTGCTGGTTCTCTGTGTTCTTCCCTGGGATGACCTCATCCACCTCCTTCCTTACCTGCTCTCTTGTTCCCTTCCTCACTACCCCTCTGCTGTACTCAGTGAGGGGATGAGGAGCGAGCAAATGAGTCTTACTCTCTTTAATGATGTGTATAGTACATAAACAGATATGCAGTATAACGATGGTATTAAGATTTCATGGATGACTGCAATTTTTAAAAGCTGTCTTAAAAGATTGCTTGGGGAGGCTGCCTGGGTGGTGGCTCAGATGTTTGCGCGTCTGCCTTCAGCTCTGTTCATGATCCCCAGGTCCTGGGATCGAGTCCCACATTGGGTTCCCTGCTCAGTGGGGAGTCTGCTTCCCCCTCTGCCTGTGTGTGTGTGTGTGTGTGTGTGTGTGTGTGTGTCATGAATGAATAAATAGGATCTTTAAAAAAAAAAAAGATGTCATTAAAGACCCCTTGGGGAGCAGTAATAAAAATGAAATTGAGAAATGCTCCTTTAGAAGTTAACCACCTCCCCTCACTGGACTATGCCCTCCTAAGGCAAAAGTCACATCTTGAACCACCTCCCTCTTAATGTTCTCATTTGAGCCTCTGTGTTCTCTATTACCGCTTTCAGTCCATTCTCTGTGATGGTCCCAGAGCAGTCCCAGAGGAAATCTGACTATATTCTGCTTCACTTATATATTTTTTTTGAGAGAGAACGTACGAGTGGGGAGAGGAGTAGAGAGAGCGATAGAGAGGGAATCCTAAGCAGGATCCACACTGACTCAGGGCTTGTTCTCAAAACCCTGAGATCTTGACCTGAGCCCAAATCAAGAGTCGGCGCACGCTTAATCACCTGAACCACCCAGACACCCCATGTCCTGTTTCACTTGAAAACCTTTCAGTTAAGTGTCTGCCTTCAGCTCAAGTCATCATCCTGGGACCCTGGGATTGAGCCCCAGGTTGGGGTCCCTGCTGGGCGAGGAGCCTGCTTCTCCCTCTGCCTGCTGCTCCCCCTGCTTGTGTGCTCTCTCTCTGTCAAATAAATAAGTAAGGTCTTTAAAAAACAAACAAACAAACAAAAAAACCACAAAGCTTTCCGTGGCTTCTCACTTCCATCCGCCAAATCTAAATTCCAGCACAGCCTATAGGGTCCCCGCCCACCCCGCTCCCTACTTTTTACATCATACTCTGTTCCAGCCATAGTGAGCCTGCAGTTACTCAGTTGCATGTGTCTCCTGCTGGCAGGCTTTTATCCATCTATTTCCGTCTGCCTGGACTGTCCTTCCGGGCCAGGGGGCTACTTGCTATTCTGGCTTATATATCGCTGCCTCTGAAAACATCCCCAGCTGGCGCATCCCCATCTCCAGGCTCCCAGGGTGTCTGAGCTCCCTCCATCATGGCTTGTATCTCACTGCCTTGTAACTGCTTCATTCCCATTGGCTGTCTCAGAGGGGTTCTTGGCTAAATATGGGGGAGATGCCCTTCTACCAGGGCCTGTAGTCGTTGTTTTGTTTTAATAAGGCAGTAATAAGTGAAAGGTTCAGGCCCTAGGAGTGGACACCAGTAGGAAGGACTTTTATTTATTTATTTTTTAAGATTTTATTTATTGGGGCACCTGGGTAGCTCAGTGGGTTAAGCCTCTTCCTTAGGCTCAGGTCATGATCTCAGGGTCCTGGGATTGAGCCCTGAATCGGGCTCTCTGCTCAGCAGGGAGTCTGCTTTCCCCCCTCTCTCTGCCTACCTCTCTGCCTACTTGTGATCTCTCTCTACCTCTCTGTCAAATAAATAAATAAAATCCTAAAAAAAAAAAAAAAGATTTTATTTATTTATTGGACACAGAGAGAGAGAGAGATCACAAGTAGGCAGAGGAGGCATGGTTCGTCATTCCTGCCCTGGTTAAGCAGTCAGCCTCTTCCTGTGGCCATCCTGCCCCTAAATCAGCTCTCCTCTGGCAGACAGAGGACCTTGTAAAAATGGAAATGAGATCATATCTCTTCCTTTACAGCCTTGTTGTGGTTCCTGAGTGCACTCAGAGTGATTACCACCACACCTGCTTCCTCTATTGCCCTGTAATAATGCCAGGACAGAGCACATGCTCAGTAAATATAGCAAATGGTGACTTCTCTGCTCCCAGTGACAGTTCACTGTGTCAGATGTGTTCACCTGACAGATGGCCAAGGTCATCACCTGATACCTTCTCCCTCCAGACTCTGGACTTGGCAAAGGCAGCCTCTGCTGTGTCTACATAATCTCCCCAGTGGTGGCCCCAGGACCAGGTACGAAAGAGGTGCTAGTAGATGGTCATGTTTTTTTTTTTTTCCACAGGCAAAGCCACTTCCTACCTCCTGAGGACTCTGAACCATGGAAAAACTGGACATGAGTGACTGGCTCCTTGATGCCCCCAGCCCTGAAGAGTGGCCAGGTGGAGTTCTGTGGGGCCTGGACATGAGTCTGGCTTCTCTGGACAGCAGGACTCACAATAAATAAAGACTCTATATACCAGACTTTGCCTTCTGCCTTCAGCAGCTGAGGGGGAAACCCTGCTCCTCTGTTCCCCAGCTTCGCACCGTGTGCCAAGAAAGGGCCTGCTCACCAGAGTTAAGATGACCCCTCTTCCCTCGTTAACTCTGCTAACAGCCACTTCCAGTCTCCTGCTGCACTGATGTGGGAAAGGCTCCTTCTCCCATCCACTCCAGCGTCTACCCAGTCTTTATGGAGCATTTCCTTGAAGTTTAGGGGGCAATAATATCATACTTCTTTTCCTCCTGAGTTTTGAAGCAGTCGTGTGATAGACACGGGCACTAGACAGTGGGAATGAAAATACTGGCTTTATTACTGAGAACAGTGACACCAAGGGGTATGGTTTAGCGTGTGCTGTCCCGGACTTCTGTTCTGTCTTGGTTTGTGTCCTTCCAGAATTCAACCCTGAGAATCAGAGTGCAGATAGTATATTTGGAATGTGATTCCAGAAACGTTTGGAGGTGAGTGGAGAGGTGAGACAGAGGAAGGCAGCCGACAAAAGGTGCGTTATCAAGCCAGTTACCACAGTGGACAATGGACTCAATCTAAGGGGCAAGGGTGTTGGAGTATAGATCGCCAACTGCCCGTCTGTCATCGGGGGCAGGTGTCATGGGCACTGATGGTCTTGCACTCCTTCCTGCCCTGTGTGTGGTCCTGTGCCCTGCCATCAAACAGGCCCTGAGTGGAGAGTAGCCAGGAATCACGTGAGCAGCATTCAGCGCCCAGAAGAGGGCTGAGTGGATCTGGGCAGGGACCAACAGGGGCTGCTGCAGCTTCTCAGTTTCTCCTCAGAAGTACATGTTCTGTGAGCTCAGCTGGTTGAGCACGAGTTCCCCAGCGGGGGCAGGTCCTAAAGGGCAGAGGGCAGACAGGACTGATGGCGGAGAGAGAGCCCGTCGTGCCCCGCTGAGTGTGCCCAGTACCTGCACCCAGATTCACCATTCAGACAAGCCACTTCCCCCTGGAGGTGACTCCAAACTTCCAGAAATTAGAAGTGACTGCCCAGTGCTGATAGATTGGCCACTGGAAGCCCAAGGCCTGTGCTCTGGCTTGGAAAAATGAGCCAGGGTGTCTCCTGGGGATTTGATCTTTAAGACGAAGTTGTCAGTTTGCTTGGGAGCAGTCAGGGTTGCCAGAGCTGCTAAAAGCCATGTGGTGCAAACCAGAGAAAACCCAGGTAGAGGAAGGAATGTGATCGTTCTTGTGGTTCCTGAACAGGCTGCTTGGGTCCTGATGGCTTTCTGTCCCCAGCTTTAGTTTCCTTGGGTTATGGATTGAGTCCTCAGAACTTTTTGTGTTTTCAGCCAACCCCACTTTGCTTGAGTGGGGTTCTGCTCCATGTAATTATAAGGAGAGTAACAAGGGGGCGTCTGGGTGGCTCAGTTGGTTAAGCACCAGACCCTTGATTTTGGCTTAGGTCATCATCATCAGGGTCATGGGATCAAGCCCCATGCCAGGCTCAATGATAGTGGGGATTCTGCTTGAAATCCTCCCTCCCTCTGCCCTTCCCCCTTCTCTCTCTCAAATAAAAAAGAAAAGAAGTGATAAGAGCAAACAAAACAAGTTGATTAATCTTTTCACAGAATTTTATTTTATTTATTTATTTGAGAGAGTGGGTAAGAGAGAGCATGAGAGGGGAGGAGGTCAGTGAAAGAAGCAGACTCCATGGAGCTGGGAGCCCGATGCAGGACTTGATCCCAGGACTCCAGGATCATGACCTGAGCCGAAGGCAGTCGCCCAACCAGCTGAGCACCCAGGTGCCCCTCTTTTCACAGAATTTACTTTTGGCTTTACTGGTGTTCTTTGCGTATTTGTTTTTAATTTATCTTCTTTACCTTTTTTGGATTTAATTTTTTTCTTTTTGAAATGAATGTTTAGCTCAATGATTCTATTTTGCATTTTTCATTGACCCCAGATTATTTAGAAGTTTAAAACTGTATTTTTAAATTTCTGAACATATGGGGATTTTTCTCATTATCTTGCCTAATTGCAATTGGACTAGGAACACATTTTCTATGGTTTCAGTCTTTAGAAATATGTTGAGACTTTCACGGCTTGGCATAGGGTTGGCTTTTGTTAATGTGCCATCTGCTCTTGAATCCTAATCCTTGGTTCATGATGCACTATCTTAGGTCGGGTTCCCCCAGAAACAGATTTTGAGGCAGCGCTTTGGAAGATGGCCCCAGAAAGCACTGGTAAGGGCAGAGGGAAGTGAGACAGGAAGGGAAAGCAGCACATCGAGGCTGCGTTATCAAGCAAGTTACCACTGGCCAACAGCTTAACTCTGGGGAACTCTGGAAAACAGTGGAGAACATATACTTCCCACTCAAGGGGGATCTAACTAACCCCCACCAGTCATTTTCCCTGCTCCTTCCTGTGTGCCAGACACACAGGCAAAGTGGGCTCTGGTGGAGAGAAAACTCCAGCAAAGAGCAGCAGCTTCAGGGCAGTTCACTCAATGGTAGCCACCCTGTGGCCATTCATTGCAACGTGACCCACGGCCACCACCACCATTGTCGCAGCCTGTCATGGCGGCCTCACAGTAGCCCCCATCATCTCAGCTCCCTTTGGTGCCTGTCACTGCTGCCTCCCATGCCTGCATCACACCACAATTACCATTGGTGGAGGTTTTGCAATAACACAAATGCTTTCAAATTGCTTGGCTCTGTTCACAAAGGATGGCTGCCTTCAACCAAGGAGGTCAACTGGAAGTGGTGGGCATGAAGGCTGAGGGAGTATTGAGAACAGTGTGGGGAGGGGACAGGGGACAGGGTAGAGGGACGTGTGCAGATGTTGAAGTGATCAAGTGAGCCGATGACCCTCGGGATTCTGAGGAGGCAGAATATGCCTGTCAAGGGAGTGCAGAGGTGAGGAGGTAGGGTATGTTAACCCGAAATTAGATTATGTCATCGAGAGTCTCCAGTTCACCTGTGGTGGGTGAACTGAGGATTTGCGCTTGCCATTGAATATACTGACTTTGTTGATAAAGATAATCAGAATAAGGATGCTATATATTTCAGTCAGCACTCCCTTGAGTAGGTAAGCACCTGGTTTATGCTATGAAAATCTTTTGGACAGAATCTGTATAAACAGAAGCCAGATTCTCTAAGGAAATTCATTATCCTGAAATAAGCTGACAGGGCACATGGCTGGCTCAGTGAGTAGAGCATGTGACTCTTGATCTCATGGCTGTGAGTTCGAGCCCTATGTTGGGTACAGAGCTTACTTTAAAATCTAAAATCTAAAAAACTATATATATATATATATATATATATATATATATCCGATTTTAAAAATCTATTTCAGTATGCAGACAAGGCTGAGAACCACTGTCCTAGTGGAATTTCTCAATTTTGATTGTCTTCTATAATATTAACATGCTTGGAATTAAGGTTTGAAAGTTTTGGAAACTACTTTGAAGCTCGTGACGTTAACAGAGGTTTCAGAGTCCAGGGAGTCGGTGTGTGTCACAATAGTATTTCTTTTTTAACTCAATAAATATTTACCAGTGAGGTGGTGACATGTGAGACAAGGTCAGACTCAAATAATTCGAATCCTTTCCTTCTCTGATGGTCTAGAAATTATGGGATGCATGGAGTGTTGGGTCAGCTGAACAGAGGAAAGAATGTCTCTCTGAAAAGTATTAAGCAGCAAAATTGCCAAGGACACAGACAAGTGTGTGTAACGAAGGGACCTGCACTCCCGAGGTTCTCAAGGGCAAGATGGCTGGACACTGTCCCTGGAGCTGCCTTTGCTGCAGAGCGTGGGCAGATAGGCAGATCTCGTGCTTCCCAGGATAAGCCACTGGGGATAACACCATGACTGTGGTGCAGCAGTACAAGGGACTGGTGAAGAAAAGAGAGACATGAAGATCAGAAAAATGAAGAAGAAGAAGAGCAACCCCAAGGCACCTAGCCCCAGCAGAGCACCAACCCCCGGGAACTGTGTCCAGGCAAGCATGTATGTTAAGCTACATAAGTGTAAGACTTTTAAAAAGCAGAATGTAAACCCAGTAGTACTAATTAAAAAGCAAATTACCTCTATTGAATAAAAACAACTACTTACTTTTTCTGTCTAACACAGTAAGAGTTTTTCTTTTTCTTTCTTTGTTTTTTTTTTTAAGGATTTTATTTATTTATTTGTCAGAGAGAGAGAGCACAAGCAGGGGAAACAGCAGACAGAAGGAGAAGCAGGTTCCCTGGTGAGCAAGGAACCTGAAATGGGACTTGATCCCAGGACCCTGGGATCATGACCTGAACTGAATGAAGGCAGATGCTTAACCAACTGAGCCACCCAGGCATCCTGAGTTTTGATTTTTCTATTTCCTTTTCCAGTAATAATTCTCTAAACTGCCCGCATTCTCAAGGATGCTCTTCTCTTCTCTTATGTGGTGGTAAAACTGAAAATCCTTTCGTCCATGGTCCATGATTTTGTCAAGAGGGTAGTGAGCTTGATGGCATCACATGAGTCTGACCCCAGGAATCAGATGTTGGCTTGCTGAGCTGAAAGTCAAAGCAAATTTTATGTAATGAAGTAAAAGAGAGCAAGTAAAAAATCTCATTAAATGCTCCTGTACATTTTGAGGAAATGGAAACGTGACTAAAATGCACATTATGAATGCCTCAGTATCATAGGTAAGTAAATCACAACTCCGTATTAGCAAGCTTGTACATTAGATGTCCAGGACACCTAACGAGTAACATCTTTTCGTTTTTCTTGGTAAGAAACAGACTGAGTGGGATGGGCCAAAATTTACATTTGCACTGCCTGCCAAATATGCAAATAAATAAGAGAAGCCTAGTTTGTTTTTGGATAAAAGATCAGCAATCTTTTATGTTTTCTGTGATTTCATTACAGTCGTCATAGAAATTAAGGAGATGATTGAAACTCCATTTTTCAAACCAAAGTACCTAAGAGCTAGGGGACACATTTCTCATTGCAGCCTCGCTGCAGTTGACTACAGGATGAAGAACACTAGCACGAA